CACCACAATCTGTCAATGTACATTATACTGTATGAGAAACCACAAGACTGGACCCAATATTACACACCACGAGCTGTCAATGTACATTATACTGTATGAGAAACCACAAGACTGGACCCAATATTACACACCACAAACTGACAATGTACATTATACTGTATGAGAAACCACAAGACTGGACCAAATATGACAAACTTCGAGCTGTCTATGTACATTATACTGTATGAGAAACCACAAGACTGGACACAATATTACACACCACGAGCTGTCTATGTACATTAAAATGTATGAGAAACAAGAAGACTGGACACAATATTACACACCACGAGCTGTCTATGTACATTAAAATGTATGGGAACCACAAGACTGGACCAAACATGACACATCACGAGCTGTCTATGTACATTATACTGTATGAGAAACCACAAGACTGGACACAATATTACACACCACGAGCTGTCAATGTACATTAAAATGTATGAGAAACAACAAGACTGGACCAAATATTACACACCACAAGCTGTTTATGTACATTATACTGTATGAGAAACAACAAGACTGGATTAAATATTACACACCACAAACTGTCAATGTACATTATACTGAATGAGAAACCACACGGCTGGACCAAATATTACACACCACGAGCTGTCTATGTACATTATACTGTATGAGAAACCATAAGACTGGATTAAATAGTACTACCACAAACTGTCAATGTACATTACACTGTATGAGAAACCACAAGACTGGACCAAATATTATACACCACGAGCTGTCTATGTACATTATACTGTATGAGAAACAACAAGACTGGATTAAATATTACACACCACAAACTGTCAATGTACATTATACTGAATGAGAAACCACATGGCTGGACCAAATATTACACACCACGAGCTGTCTATGTACATTATACTGTATGAGAAACCATAAAACTGGATTAAATAGTACTACCACAAACTGTCAATGTACATTACACTGTATGAGAAACCACAAGACTGGACCAAACATTACACACCACGAGCTGTCAATGTACATTATACTGTATGAGAAACCACAAGACTGGACCAAATATTACACACCACAATCTGTCAATGTACATTATACTGTATGAGAAACCACAAGACTGGACCCAATATTACACACCACGAGCTGTCAATGTACATTATACTGTATGAGAAACCACAAGACTGGACCCAATATTACACACCACGAGCTGTCAATGTACATTATACTGTATGAGAAACCACAAGACTGGACCAAATATGACAAACTACGAGCTGTCTATGTACATTATACTGTATGAGAAACCACAAGACTGGACCCAATATTACACACGACGAGCTGTCTATGTACATTATACTGTATGAGAAACCACAAGACTGGACCCAATATTACACACCACGAGCTGTCAATGTACATTATACTGTATGAGAAACCACAAGACTGGACCCAATATTACACACCACGAGCTGTCAATGTACATTATACTGTATGAGAAACCACAAGACTGGACCAAATATGACAAACTACGAGCTGTCTATGTACATTATACTGTATGAGAAACCACAAGACTGGACCCAATATTACACACCACGAGCTGTCAATGTACATTATACTGTATGAGAAACCACAAGACTGGACCAAATATTACACACCACGAGCTGTCAATGTACATTATAATGTATGAGAAACCACAAGACTGGACCCAATATTACACACCACGAGCTGTCAATGTACATTATACTGTATGAGAAACCACAAGACTGGACCCAATATTACACACCACAATCTGTCAATGTACATTATACTGTATGAGAAACCACAAGACTTGACAAAATATTACACACCACAATCTGTCAATGTACATTATACTGTATGAGAAACCACAAGGCTGGACCCAATATTACACACCACGAGCTGTCAATGTACATTATACTGTATGAGAAACCACAAGACTGGACCCAATATTACACACCACGAGCTGTCTATGTACATTATACTGAATGAGAAACCACAAGACTGGACCCAATATTACACACCACGAGCTGTCAATGTACATTATAATGTATGAGAAACCACAAGACTGGACCCAATATTACACACCACGAGCTGTCAATGTACATTATACTGTATGAGAAACCACAAGACTGGACCCAATATTACACACCACAATCTGTCAATGTACATTATACTGTATGAGAAACCACAAGACTTGACCAAATATTACACACCACAATCTGTCAATGTACATTATACTGTATGAGAAACCACAAGACTGGACCCAATATTACACACCACGAGCTGTCAATGTACATTATACTGTATGAGAAACCACAAGACTGGACCCAATATTACACACCACGAGCTGTCAATGTACATTATACTGTATGAGAAACCACAAGACTGGACCCAATATGACAAACGACGAGCTGTCTATGTACATTATACTGTATGAGAAACCACAAGACTGGACCCAATATTACACACCACGAGCTGTCAATGTACATTATACTGTATGAGAAACCACAAGACTGGACCCAATATTACACACCACGAGCTGTCAATGTACATTATACTGTATGAGAAACCACAAGACTGGACCAAATATGACAAACTACGAGCTGTCTATGTACATTATACTGTATGAGAAACCACAAGACTGGACACAATATTACACACCATGAGCTGTCTATGTACATTATACTGTATGAGAAACAAGAAGACTGGATTAAATATTACACACCACAAACTGTCAATGTCCATAATACTGTATGAGAAACCGCAAGACTGGACCCAATATTACACACCACGAGCTGTCAATGTACATTATACTGTATGAGAAACCATAAGACTGGACCCAATATTACACATCACGAGCTGTCAATGTACATTATACTGTATGAGAAACCACAAGACTGGACCCAATATTACACACCACGAGCTGTCTATGTTCATTATACTGAATGAGAAACCACAAGACTGGACCCACTATTACACACCACGAGCTGTCAATGTACATTATACTGTATGAGAAACCACAAGACTGGACCCAATATTACACACCACGAGCTGTCAATGTACATTATACTGTATGAGAAACCACAAGACTGGACCAAATATGACAAACTTCGAGCTGTCTATGTACATTATACTGTATGAGAAACCACAAGACTGGACACAATATTACACACCACGAGCTGTCTATGTACATTAAAATGTATGAGAAACAATAAGACTGGACACAATATTACACACCACGAGCTGTCTATGTACATTAAAATGTATGGGAACCACAAGACTGGACCAAACATGACACATCACGAGCTGTCTATGTACATTATACTGTATGAGAAACCACAAGACTGGACACAATATTACACACAACGAGCTGTCAATTTACATTATACTGTATGAGAAACCAGAAGACTGGACCAAATATGACAAACTACGAGCTGTCTATGTACATTATACTGTATGAGAAACAACAAGACTGGACACAATATTACACATCACGAGCTGTCTATGTACATTATACTGTATGAGAAACAACAAGACTGGACCAAATATGACACATCATGAGCTGTCTGTGTACATTATACTGTATGAGAAACCACAAGACTGGACCGAATATTACACACCACGAGCTGTCAATGTACATTATACTGTATGAGAAACCACAAGACTGGACACAATATTACACACCACGAGCTGTCTATGTACATTATAATGTTTGAGAAACAACAAGACTGGATTAAATAGTACACACCACAAACTGACAATGTACATTATACTGTATGAGAAACCACAAGACTGGACCCAATATTACACATCACGAGCTGTCTATGTACATTATACTGTATGAGAAACCATAAGACTGGACCCAATATTACACATCACGAGCTGTCAATGTACATTATACTGTATGAGAAACCACAAGACTGGACCCAATATTACACACCACGAGCTGTCTATGTACATTATACTGAATGAGAAACCACAAGACTGGACCCAATATTACACACCACGAGCTGTCAATGTACATTATACTGTATGAGAAACCACAAGACTGGACCCAATATTACACACCACGAGCTGTCAGTGTACATTATACTGTATGAGAAACCACAAGACTGGACCAAATATGACAAACTACGAGCTGTCTATGTACATAATACTGTATGAGAAACCACAAGACTGGACACAATATTACACACCACGAGCTGTCTATGTACATTATAATGTATGAGAAACCACAAGACTGGATTAAATAGTACACACCACAAACTGACAATGTACATTATACTGTATGAGAAACCACAAGACTGGACCAAATATGACAAACTACGAGCTGTCTATGTACATTATACTGTATGAGAAACCACAAGACTGGACACAATATTACACACCACGAGCTGTCTATGTACATTAAAATGTATGAGAAACAAGAAGACTGGACACAATATTACACACCACGAGCTGTCTATGTACATTATACTGTATGGGAAACCACAAGACTGGACCAAATATGACACATCACGAGCTGTCTATGTACATTATACTGAATGAGAAACCACAAGACTGGACCCAATATTACACACCACGATCTGTCTTTGTACATTATACTGTATGAGAAACCACAAGACTGGATTAAATAGTACACACCACAAACTGACAATGTACATTATAATGTATGAGAAACAACAAGACTGGACCCAATATTACACATCACGAGCTGTCTATGTACATTATACTGTATGAGAAACCACAAGACTGGACCCAATATTACACACCACCCCATTTTTATTTCGAAAAAAATTAATTACCACCAAAGACAATGAATAGATCTTAATTGTGCACCCCCCCCCCCCCCCCTTTTCAAAAAGCTGTATCCGCCCTTGCATACTGTCAATATGCATAATACTGCACAACAAAGCACCCGAATGGAAGACTGCTTTGTGGGTGGGATCCACACTGACCCATGTACCACCAACCTGTGTGATGCCTCCAGTATGCAGATACCGGTCACTCCAGCCTTCTTGAGATGCTCCGCTGCCGAGAGTCCGGCTAGACCGCCCCCAATCACCACCACACGACAGGCGACGCTTGCCATCAGTCAGCTGTAGATTTGTAGATTTTCAACTGTCATATGAAAACATCGTTAATATATATATATATATATATATATATATATATATATATATATATATATATATATATATATATATATATATATTCACTTGCGTTTCCTTGTTCCTTTTCTGATAAACGGCGCCCCAGTACGTGGATCCAACACTTTTGTACCGATACTAGCGCCATGCCAAGACTAACGAAGAATCAGAGAAACCAGGCTTTATGACGACTGCACGCTGCCCAGGCTGCACGAATGGTTGCTAATGAGAACCGGCAACAGATTACAGCAATGATACTAGGTTACCAACAGCATGCAGTCGTCATAAAGCCTGATTTCTCTGATTTTTCTATTACATTACAACCGGACGTTGTACGATTGATGAAAACAACTCTGTATGCAAACAGAAAGATATCTCAGTCCCAAAATCCTAATGAAAACAAAACATGACCGCGTCCATTAAGTTATATATATAACGTCAGAAACAAGACACTTGCAAAAACGCATTGATACTTCACTGGGAAAATTTCATGAAGTGACCCTTCTTTTGAGGTTCAGTATATATTGTTTAAATACATATTCAAGGGTACATATACCAACTACATTTTTTATCTTATATAACAAAAAACAACATATTCAATTTTCAATCGCTATAATGATGTTTGTCTTAACATTGCAGTCTACATCCAGTTTGCCTTGACAATGATCAGATGATTGTAATTGATAAAGCTCATTCTAAATTTCATTAGACCCTGCTTTATATGTTTCCTTATTCTAAACTGATGTTTCAAATTCCAACATAGACAAATTAAGAATGCTGGTCTTTTTTCCCTTTACATCAGTAGATATCTGCATTGCACAATGTTATGATTTTATTTTATTTCTTTGTGTACTTGTGCACGTGTATTGGTGTTAGATTACATGCATATCTATAAAATCATATAAAAGTATAATCTGTTATATGTAAAAACATACATAAATGCATATAGGCATTTACATGGAATGATTGTGGGTTTAAATTTTTATTTATGTCATGATTAAAATATTTGATTATAAACTTATCAAAATCATATTTGCTATAACATAATAATATAGACGTAATACTAGTAGTGGAGCCGTTTCGTTAAAACTTGTGCACTTTGTGATAAAAGCATTAAACTTGGCACAGTTGTAGGTAATGACATTCCAAATATTTTCAGACATGAGGCCACCCAAACAAATCCAATATGCCCGCCATGAAGGAATGAAAAAACTTGAAGCACGGCAAACAGGTTCTATTGAACAAAGGGTCAGATTTTGTCAATCAACTGCACCCATGTTCAATTTAAGAAGCAAACAGAAGACTCTTTTTGCATACGTCTAATGCTGCAAGACAAGGTCATGATAGGATTTTGATTTGCACAGTTGATACTGAACGCATTGCCCTGGCCACTGCATTGTTTGACAGAATAGATACCTTTTGGATCTGGCAAACAATTAAGATGTTTGGCTGTTCATGTCCTTGCCGGATTCCATGGACCAGAGGAAGCGTGTTCACTGTTTTACTGGCTGTGACCTAACATCATTCTTTGCTGGAAAAGGCAAACAAAGCCACCCCAAAAACAGCGGTGAAAACATCTAATGTGCATGATGAAGCAACAGAGGCTTTTAATCTCATTGGTGATGTACCAGCCAAACAGGATGTGATGAACATGATACCAGTCATTCAGCATTTTGTGGTATTAATGAATGATTGGGCCAGTATCTGTACAAGAGTTGATGAGGCAACCAACGACTTATTCATTACGACAGGTAGATCAATTGATTTCGTTCTTCCACATCAGCTGCATTGTACCAACATATCAATAAAGTTTATTTCAAGCTGGCCACTGTTGGCGACGAAATCTGGAGGCCAAACAGACCTTTCCACACCAACTGAGAGAGGATGGGATATATCAGTAGCACATGCCTTTGAACTCTCGTGGACTACGCTACCATAAGCTTCTACGACATGCCAAGAGCTTCTGAGATGAAGTTGTAAGTCTGAGAAGGGCGCAGAGCAAGGTGTGACTGTGTTGTGGCACCTTTAATTGGTACACCATGTGGTGGCAACTGTGATCGCATTTAATTTACACTAACGTACCAAAACCACTTGCCATTTACTGCATATTTCAATTGATACAAATTGTGTTCTTAAAATATTCTGTTGTTGCCATTGTATTCACCATATGACTATACAATATTGGTATGTCTTAAAGATATAATGCCGAAAAAGTTTGTTTGTTTGTTAGTTGTTTACCGCCGCACTCCAATATTCCAGCTATATGACGGCGGTCTGTAAATAATCGATTCTGGACAAGACAATCCAGAGAGTGACATCATGAGCATCGATCCACGCAATTGGGATACAATGACATGCATGAACCAAGTCAGCGAGCCTGACTACCCGACCGCGTTAGGCGCCCATTACGACAAGCATAGTCGCCGAAAAAGCAGAAATGCATATGTTTATTTTTTTTTCACACTTTAGATTACCTAAATCAACATGAATAGTCTATTGTGATAAAATTACAGATGTAGTTTTGGGTAAATATCTTCATTTTTCTTTTTATATTTAGGTTTTGGGGTCATGTTAACATGAGATATCGTAGAATTTCATTCCTCCATAGCGGCCATATTGGAATTTTGGGTGACCCCATATCTGAAAATATTTGGAATGTCATTAACTCAACCGGCAAAGTTTCTTGCTTTTTTCACAAAGTGCACAACTGACCCTATATCTGTCACGAAACGGCTCCAGTGTACAAGGTGTTTTGAAGTATTGTTGAATGAAAATCAGGATATGTAGCTAATGCAGGATAGTGCATGGGTTGTAAGGGAAATAACTTGTCAACATAATATATGTTGTCAAAACTATCGTTTACCTAGATTTATTAATCATAATCATCTTGTGGGGTAGTCAGTATGATTTATTGTTTGTTACAAATCTCCGTAATTTACTACTATTTTAAGAGAATGAGTATCAGAATTTGGAAAGAAATGGATGAATAAATTAACACCTGCGATGACTCAAACGCCTAATTATGGGACACATTTTATAAAGGGGAGAATAATATGGGCAAATCTCTTATTTCAAAGTATGATGACTCGTATGTATAGTTCAACTGAGTAACTGATTGGTTGATAGACGCATGGTAGATTTTCATTTGGTATTTTCCTTAAAGATCTTGTGAGAATAAAAAGCCATAAATCAGATGTAAGAGAAAATGTTGATATAAAAGTTAAATTCGAAAATCAGATACTTTATTCTGAAGATTATTTCTTCTTCAATCATAAGTAAAGAACGGATGTATAATAATTATAGAGCCGTGGTAGAGGCCTGTCAAAGATGTCCGTGTGTTGCAAATGTAGGCGTTCCTGTCTAAAATGTCGGTGTGCTGCAAATGTAGGCGTTTCTATCAAAGATGTCCGGGTGTTGCGAATGTAGGCCTTTCTGTCAAAGATGTCTGTGTGCTGCAAATGTAGGCGTTTCTCCAATTTTATTACATTGCAGTCCATCCTAGTATGAAAACTATTTCTTAAGATTTGAATGCTACACTTGTTTAGGACTTGTCGTGTGAAATAAAAGAAAGGCTGATAAATAAGATTAGCTTGCATTATTTCATTGCTTCAACAGTTTACCCCCGACTGACAGAATGCCTCACTGTTTTCTGATGCTGAAAATGGTTCATAATTCTATTTAAATAAAACACTCAGCCTCCAACACTCAGCCTCCATCTGTTCGAAAAACAAATCTCACCCCCCGCCCCAAAATGTATTGACCGCAATATGGCCATCCTCTTCAATATTATTTTGTATATAATCTTTGACATCGAGACCTGAGCATGATAGACAGTATGGACGACAGTATGCCTGTTACACTTATCTAGTAATAATCATTTCAAATCTTCCTTTGCAAGATGCCATATCATGCAAGCAACTGTATCTTATCCTTGGGCAAGGTTATTGACTCCACTTGACTGAAACAGCTGTTGACTGTGATGTGAAATGCCTATTTAGCATGATTCAATGTTACTGGGACAAAAACATAAACATACCTGTATTGTCCAAAGACATGAATTATATATCAACATCATTACAAGTTATGCCATGAACTAGGACAAAAAACAAGGTATTATGTCCAGGGTTTACAGGATGGGGTCAGTTGTTCAGTATTCGATCAAGCATCAATACTGAAATCAACACATGAAACGCCCTTTAATCCTTCAGAATGTCTGATTATCAGTCAGTATTGTGTATGCCCACCACGAGAATCAATGCACGCCCGAAGTCGACCATGAGAAGAATATGTAATACGAATGATCACAAGAAATAGGATTCAACACCATTCTTCTCAGAGGGACCGTGCTAACTGATCCTTGTTCAAAGGGCGCCCTGGGCGTGCTCTAATTTGATGGTCAATATGATCCCACAGAGTTCTATAGATGATAAGTCTGGTGATTGTGCTGGCCAAGGCGCAATGCTATATTGCTGAGACAGGGTATGTCCTGTTCTGTTGCAAGAACGGCACAACAACAGGACAGAGTGATTGGTCAATGTCATGATGTCCAGTGATGTTTCCTTCCAAAATCACCAGATCTGTCTTGACTCGGCTACAGATGCTGAATTGATAGGACTAATGATGCCTCATTGACAGGGCTACTAATGATACCGCATTGACAGAGCTACAGATGCCGACACCCACAAACGGTCTGACATCTTGATTGCAACAATGTTCTCCTCGTCGGAGGTTGACACAAATTCTTCCATCTGCTAGGATAAGCTTGAATCTTCTCTCTCCTGTGAACATGACTCTTTGCCAGTTTCTGTTCTACCAGCGTTGCAGTGTCAGCATGACGTCTGGTCGTGTCCAGCGACTGACAGGATGACTGCCTCAGATGATGCCGAGACAGTGACATTATCGTTCCTGAGATGGCGGATACACATGTAAAGTTCCCTGAATGGTTGTGACGGGAGGTCTGCCACCATCACC